TAAAATAATCTGTAAAGAAAAATAGAAATATTACATGAATAAAACAAAAACAAAATACAAAAATCATTTTTCATAAGGTAGATATATATTTTGCTTTTTCTCTTAAAGAACCAGTGCAGACTGCTTATTTAAACAAGTAAGTCTCAGGTAGATTCTTCCATTTTCCTTCTTCTCTTCCACCTCTCCCTGCTTCTCAGTCTCTGACCAGGTCTCAGTCTCTGACCAGGTCTCTCCCTTGTTCATCAGCATTATAAGTAATTGCCAGCACAGACTTTTGTTGTACAATGCCCTATAACAGTCATGTTATAATAATAACAACAAAGCAGCGAAACAATACACAAATTTACAATCAAATGTATTACAAAGTGTTTTATATAAGACTGGTAAATTATTTTTTTTAGGGATTTAAAGCAACAGGACTTTTGTATGACACTTAGAAAATAGAAAAGGTTAAAACATGGTCTCAGGAATATGCACACACTATGAGTGGACGTACATTTTCTGTATTTCATAGCAGCACAGATTTGGCCTTATCACTAAAAATTCCCAACCACATTTGATTGGCATAGGGCATTAAGAATTTAGAAAGAAATGACAAATTCTAAAGGCATAGGGCATGGTCAAATAAACTGGCCTATCTATTCCGCCCCATGACAGAGACCATTCTTCTTATGCCTTAAATTAACTCTGCATGAGTCGCAGTACCTTTGTTATGATGTTTCAATTTGGTCCTACTGCATCTCTCTACTCATTTAACCTACCCTTGGCTAAAGTCTGGGAATGTCCTTTTTCCCCTACCTTATTATGGAGCAATTTCTGCTGCAGTGCTCAACGTTAGCCCAAATCCTCACACTCACCCAGGGCACATCAAACAATTCAGAAATAAATCACCTGACTTGGAATTAACATAGTGGCAACACATTCTACATAACACTGCAACCTGGAGAAGTTGCTTGCTCTTACTTTGTGCTAGAATTTTGCTGCATGTATCTTGATGTCAAGATTCTATTAAAATGCTTCTAATTCACAGGTTCTGTTTGTATTTCCAATCCATGACTAGATACTTCCATGTAGGTATCTGGGAAAATCATGGCAATACCACATACCATACAGATATTTAGCAAAGATTAATTTTAACCAAGGACAATGTAAAACAGTAATTAAATTTGACTGTCTAGTTTATTAACATTAACAGTGATAACCTTCTCTGAATGATTTAGCATTTCAGCTGAAATTTTTAAGAGACTAATTGGTTGTATGAAGAAAACAGAGAAAAAAGAAAATAAGGAGAATAATGTTATAAAAAATGGGCACTTGTCCTGTTCAAGTAATGACTTATCCTGGATGAAGAGTAAAGAATGTCATCTTTGTTTAATTTACAATATATCTCTTTTTTATGCTACAAATGTGTTCCAGAAATTTATGTATCATCTAATTTTTATAAAACTAATCTTATCTTTCAGTATATGAAGGTTTTGCTTTCTGAAATAATTTGGCCCCAGAAACCTTTCATACAGAAACAATAAATGCTGGGCACTATGGTCTTGGGGAGGGGGGCAGGTGATAAAGTCAGGGAAAACAGGATTAAGTCATACTGGGAACACTGTTATGGAGCATAGGTTTCCACTTTGATACCTGAAGTATGCTGGAGTAGGATGGAACACTGGGGATCTCTGGATCATGGCTCACACATGGCCCCATTCCCCTTCAAGCCAGTAAAGTCTCGCTCAGACTACCGTGAGCTCCTAGCCAAGGGTCCTCTCCACCATCTTTACCCATGGCTCTGCCCCTCTTTCAGGGATGAGGTGGTCAGTTAACTGCAGCTTCAGTGACCCTATTTTTTTTTTCTGCACAGAACTCCTTTTTCACATAGCAAGGCCAGGGAGGACACAGGTTGGAAAGCAGTACACTTAGAACTCCACTGTAAATCCATTTGTAAAATAAATAACCATTCCCAAATTTATATCCTGTGTAAAAAATGAATTCATGTGCCATATTTGTTTTAACTCAAGGCACACATCCTGGGTACCTCTAAGGGAAACATGAGCCTTTTTTTTTTTAGAGTATAAGTTAATTTTTCTCCTTAATAGCAAAGCAAATGGTACAACTTCAAAGTGACCTTCAACTATGGATAGGTAAAACTTTGGATGACACAACACTGTTCCATCATAATTTAATAGAGGTCTGCTAGGGTATGATTCTTTTCATAAAAATTAAGTTCTTCATATACACAAAAGCGAAGTATAACTCTTATGAAAAGCTTCTACTATTTTAAAAGCCATTTGTTAAATTACTTTGTAAGGTAGTAAATTTACATTAGAATAATCAAATTAAATTCAAAAACATATATCACTATCAGGCGTGATTGGGGAAAAATACAAAGAAGAGCTATTTAAAATTTATTATGCCAATGCCACAATGAGTATAAATTAGGATCTGTTAATAGAAACCGATCTGACATTAAATTCAATTTTTATAAAATTAAATACATATTTTCGTCACTTCACACAGGGGGAAAAATCCTTCAGTCTGCAACAACAAAACATTTCAACTCTTTGGCGCAGGAGCTAGAAATATCAGATGCACAACACCAAGCGAGTAGCACCAGGATCTCTCTTAAGTGGTTGAGGTTGGGAGACTTCGAGTACCATCAGGTTAAAATAATACACAAAGCATACTGGCAAATATATAATGCTTGGGATTCAGAAGTATGCATTGATTTCACTTTACAAGTCTACAAACAAAACCCTGCATTTATTCAGAGTAAACCAAGACACAAAAACGTTATTTTTCCATATGTTAATTTGTATAAAATTACCAATAAATCAAGCCTCTCCCAGAATGTTCAGTAATTCTCATAACCACAGCCCTGACGTCATACAATGTAACTACAACATACCAAAGGGAAAAGGGATTTTGAGGTACTGAGTATCTAGAGAAAAAAAATGTAAGCAATAATCACAATGTTTCTAACCCGGTGACTCTACCTCTGCCAGAACAAGAGACAAGGGCTTTTTGAGTTCATTAGAATGATCAGAAAAAGTATCTAAACCAGGATATAAGCTGGACCCCTGGCATTTGGGAAACAGTCTCACTGTTTCCTTTGTGGAAGCTACTAAATTCTTCTCTGTTAAAATAGCTTGAAAATTCACATTATTTTTATTCCTCACAATTCATGTAAAGAAACACAGCACTACAATATATACAGTCTAGTATAAAACAATTTCTAAAAGATACCTGATCCAGCTGGAAAGAAACAACAACAAAAATTCCTCACATTAAATTTAACCAAAATGAAGGAGTTCACATGCAATAAGAACTTTGACAGTCAAGTAGGTATCAGCAGCAAGTCTATCCAGCTCAGTGATGAAAAAGCACTAGTGGAAGGCCTTTTCTTGAATATATTACTGAAGTGCCACACAATGGTAAATATATATATATTTGGCTTGGTAATTCCTAATTTTAGTATGTTACAGAAGGATAACTGAAAGGAATTCCATAGTGAGTAAAATTACTAAATTCTCTGGTGAAACAGAAAACAGTACAGACAAGCCTGTTACTGAGAAGCTGATTATTAGAGACATAAACTTTTCATCTTCCTTACTGTTGATTCCTCCAACCCTGCTACCCCTCTTTTGGGGGAGAATATTCATTACTCATTAGCTCTTCCTCTCTATGTGGTGGAAAGGTACAGAAAGAAGTCATGAAATTTTGTCACTTGTTCACAGCAACGGTAAAAGACTTGATGGAACAGGCAGTTAAAACTGACTGCTAAAAAGACTGAAATATTCTGTACACTTATATCAGTGCTATTCCTGATCCAAATTAGCACAGATAACTGCTAGCTCACTATATTACAACATCTGAAGACTAGATAAAAGTAACAAATTTTGCGCCTTAAATGTCATGATGCATTTGTGTTCTAGAGGATGATAAAAGGCAGATGTCTGAGGAAACAGGCCCTTTCCAGGCAGAACTATGCTAAATAGACAGCCACTTCACTGGAAACAGAGATGCCAATATTGAGTGAGGTATGTAGTGCAACCAATTAATGATCACAATGATTCTAGAAAATTAATCCTGCTCCCTTCTCAGATATTTCTGTAGAACACCTTGGTGGTGTTCTGAAAATGGCTAATTAGAAGAGAAAATACAATTTAGCAAATTGAAGATGGACTCTGGAATTCAACAGGACAAACATAAGCCTTTAAAAAGTACGTACATTATCATGTAGTAAAATGGTTAAAGGATACCAAAAAGTAAAAATATAACATATGTACACAGCTGCTAATACTTAAGGTATTATTTTTCAAAGTGCCAATATCTTATACACGAAAAATAGAAAGCTCACAGAAAGCCAGGTAAAAATCTAACTGTAAACAAATGATGATTATGTCTATAAGTGTTTTATGTGATGTTCCTAAGCACTAAAATTCTAAGTAAATTCTAACTATAAATCAATTCTCAAACGGATGTTTCAAACCTACACAAGCTATGGCTCAATAAAGTGAGCCTGGTAACTTGGTCACACAGCAAACACAGAGAAAGCCAAGAAAAAGAAGGAAAAAAAATCCCAGAGAGATCAGTAATGTTGCTAATTAATATTAATGCCGTATTATCCTCTGTAACAACATATATTTTTAATCACTGATACAGAGTAAAATCTCAACACCTATACATGCAAAAGCAATGGCATACCTAAAATTTGTTTATACCACCATTATTTAAAGTAGTTTATTCTTTCTACCTAGGAAAGCAGTCAGACAAAAGCTCATGATCCTCATTCAGAAATAATGGAGTCGACAAATACATAGCTTGTGAAAACTAGTAATCTGTGTAAAAGTGACCTGGAAAAGTTTAACAAATATAAGTTGTAATTAACATGCCATCACTAAGTCATCATTGACATGGCATTTTAAAGGCATTAAATTTAACTCTGCCACAAAACAACTTACTAAGTTAAAAATATTGAAATTCTGTTCATACTCAATACCTGTTACTTTTTAAAGTAAACGAAGCTTTCTGCAGAAAAATAACGATTAAAGATTTAATTGAAATTTTAAATTCTTTATGTCTACCAAAATAAATTTTTTCCTGCGTAATTCTTAGGCAAAATAACAGATTTCTCATAACAGAATGCTGGTTTCTAAGTATTTTTAAACTAAACTTGAGACATAACATACCATGAATACTTCAGTGAAGTTCCATATAAATATGTAAATGCTAAGCTAAGCACTATATCTTACATAAGTAAATCTGTTTGCAAGTAAAAAACAAAGATAAGTTTTGTTCCTCAGGAGGCGTGGTTTCCAATTTTTAGAACACTGGAAAAAGGTAAAGACTTTATTTTCCACAACCCCAATGACTTTTCTGTGGCTAGTACCTCCTTTGACACATTCTATTTAATAAAAAATGAGGTATTTCTAAAGAATTACTTTTATGCAACATGCAGAGTCTATCAGCCACAATACTAATGGCATCATATCTTTTCCACTGTCAGTAATTCTTTTCAGTTCTCAACATATTTATTGTTTCAATATTTATATAAAGCTCACAATAAATTAATTGAATACTAAAGATAAAGGTATTAAATGGACTGAGATGCTCAATGAAAAGACAAAACTGAAAAACAAAATAAACTCTTATTAGACATATGTAGCCTTTTAAAAAGAGATTTAAAAAAATTCTTTAAATATTTTTAAAGCATTGAATGCCTATACTTAACAATTTAACTGCAGCGTCAGTATTCATCTTTAACTCAAATAGATTTATCAAACAAAATTAATGAATAGATTATCCATGTAGCTCAAAAAGAAAAATCATGATTGTGCCCATGTAATATTAACTGAAAATTTATAATGAAAATTTACTAAATAATAATATAAAATATATTTAAATGAGACATAATAACTTATGAACTGGAAACTGACATATACATACACACATTCATTTTTTAAAGACTTTATGTTTTCCTTATGTACTTTTGTTAAAATTTAATTTTCCATCACTGAAAAGATTTGGTTTCTTAGTTGTCACAACCAAAGCAAAACAATAAATCTCTTGTCAATAAATTTAATTTCAACAGTTAGCCAAGAGAGGGCGCATAGAGAACATCAGAGTTTGTGCTCTACCTTGGAGACCGTTCAAGTTATTTTCTCTAATAGATGAATATCAAGAATCACAGGATAAATGTGTGCTAATTGGATAATTTGGGAATGCTGAAAACTATAGCATTTGCATGTATTCTTTATGTGTATATATGTAAAATATACATATATTGATATGCAATGTATCTGTCACTGAAATAAATAATATAATCCCTTGCCTGGTCCTTGGATTTGTGTTCCATGGGTCTGGCAGAGATAGTGTAAGGCCAGGGTAGTGTAGTTATATAGACAGAAGAACAGGGAAGAAGGAGGAAAGAGTGAGAGGTCTTCCATTTCGCGCTTTGAATTCTATTCTAGAACATAATGCAATGCTTATCTTCTCTACTCTGAGTCCCAAACCCAACCAGCCCAAGCCCTTGTCCTTTGAGAAGGCAGTGATGCTTTGGCTTCTTCACTTTAATATAGAAGTAGGAATGGTAGCTCTCTCCTAGGCATCTTCCTGGGTGGCTCCCTTCAGTGTACAAGGTACAAACATAACCTACTTCCTATATTTGTGAGCTCTCCAAGAGGACCTATTGCTTCCTTATGGTCCTGGCTTACAAAGATCTGTTTTACTGACATTTATGTATTGCCTAGAACTGGCTTCACATCTCCAAGTGTCCAATTATCAATCAGGTAAAATTTGTTTAGCATATAAGATGTAGAGAATCCTGATTATGTGCCTGGTTTCACAAGAATTTTGTATTTAAATAGTTCTTGTAAGTGATATCTTAGCACTTGGCCAGGAGCAACAAGGTTATTTTTTATATTAAACTATGTACCCTGTCAGCACCAATAAATACGTTCACTTGCTGCTATTAAATATTTAAGTTTTTTTAAAACACTATATTCAGACCATGAAAACATGATGCCAATATTTCTTGGGCTCTTACTCTATTACTACAGAATATTTTTAAAGGTTATATACAATATCTCAAAACAATGTCTATAATAAAATTTCCAGGCTATGCCAAATTTCTGTTTCATTATTTCCCAGATGTGATTACCTGAACAGTAAGATAAGAGAAAGCAAAAAACTAACATATTAGAAGGTAAACAGGTGGAAAATGCCAAAAACCTCCAATTTACTCTGTAAGTAAAATGTGATTTTTTAAAAGTTCTGAATGCTATAATAAAATAGATGAACTCCTCAAAACATGCTGCCCATTTACCCACGTATTCTCTATCTTCCAAAAATACCATCATTATGATCCCATTTTAGTTTGGTAAAATCAAAAAGGCTAATATAAATTTGCAAACAATTAAATTTCCCTAACGATTTAAGGCCATCTCATAACAGTAGCCATTGCCAATAAAAAGGGACCCCAATAACAACAAAATAATATTTAAGCCCTAATTCAGTCGGCCAATAAAAACTAAATTTCAATTTCATTTACTGACACCAGAAATTGGTTACTTATCTGTAACAACAGTAAGTGTATAAAAGAATACCTTAAAATATTCCACTGGTCAATATTCTTAAATATAAACACTCAAAAAGCAATTCTAGTTCTATCAGAAGATAAAAGTTGGAGTCTATTTTTACACACATATATTCCTCTATATACTATATATTATATATTAAAATCAAATGGACTTTTCAAATGTATGAATCCTAATGTGAGAAAAGGTAGAAATGAAATTATTATAAATTATTAGAAACAAATAAAGAAAACAAATCTCAGTGGAAAACAGGAAAATATACGTATTAGTCACATATTTCCTTTGGGTCTTTGCCCTAAACATCTTTTATCAACATAAGAGTGATAATCTCAGTAGTAAAAATGTGTAGGTTATTTTTTTTCTTTTCTTGAAATGCTCTGCTTAAAAGATGAGAATCTTAAGTCTTTCCTTTAAAAGACTTTTTTTTGGGGAAGGAAGTAGGAAAAATATGGAGGAGACCATTAGGAAGAAATTTGCTTCTTATAAAATACACTGCCTGTTTTCAGGGCTTTGCTGTATGGTTAATATCATGCAGTATAAAGAAAAAGGAGGCATTAACGATTTACAATTACATCAGAAAAGAAAATCTGCATAGAAGGTCTGTTTAAAAAGAAAACCCTGAAGAAGTTCAGATCTGGTCATACGGTTTGAAAATACAGAATTTAAGTAAACATCTGTGATTTTGCACAAAATAAAGTTACTAATAGCTTATACTAAAAAAAAAACTGTGTACAATTTCATCTCAATCATTACCTTTTGAGTTTAACAACAAATGAGTTTAAAGAAATCCCTGTGGAAAGCTAATGTGAAAGTAAACACGCTTTAAAACTTAAATATAGATCTTGTATCAGTCCCACAACAGGATCAAGATCACTATTAAAATAAAGCCTGGGGCACATTATGATGCCTAAGATTGGTGGGTGGATTTTAATTGACTTGAAGACTGTCATAGTTCTATTATCATAAAACCTGTAACGCATTTCCAGCATGGAGGACCCATCTGTGCCCACCATCCATCTGTTTAGACGTGATTGGCAAAATGGTAGGGAACTCTCAGTGGTTGCCTCTGCCTGAAAGGAATGAACCACAGGATCTTCCAACGAGTGCCAAAAACTTCTGAGAAGGTCTGCTGCCATGGCTTTCGGGGCCTCGATCTACAGAAGACAGCATTATTAGTGAAAGACAGCACTCCCATGGTGCACTTCAGTCAGCTAAAACAATGCAGGTTGGCTGGGGATCCATTACTGGACTCTGATGAATTGTGTCCCAGCATCACAAATACAGCTTTTCTTTCATTATGGCATGCAGCTGAGACTTAACTCTAGATACCAGATATTGTATCTGGGTCGTCAATCAACCGAGGGCAACTTTTGAAGCAGAGGAGAATCTCACGATTAACAGAATGCATGTCAACAACACAGTAGCAACTGTCTTTTGATGTACTTTGGGGACAAAATAATTTAGCTTACTTTGGTTAGATAAAGAACAAAAATCATCAGTATTTACTCTGTATTAAAAAATATCACAACTGGAGGGCTAGAGATATGCTTCTCTAGCTCAGACCTCAGGCAGGGCAGCAAGAAAAAGCTGTCATTTTATCTCCACGTGCACATTTTCAAACTGCTAGTCCTTTAAATTTTTAAAGATGGAAACTTTTATACTCACATTTCTTCACAACAATTTGACATCTTTTCAATAGATGTTGTATCCTATAAGAAATTTTGAAAAGTAAAATTACAAAGTACTCATATACGAAAAAGTTTTTTTTTTTATCCACTATATATATTATGTTTTTGTTACCTTTAAAAAAATTGAGAGACTTAAACCAATTAAATGCAGGTCCAAAGATTTTTTAAATGCTACCTATTCAATGTGAATTTATTTAAAGAACATAACTAATAAAATATGATTACAATCAAATAGCCACATAAAAAGACTTAAGACATTTCTAAATCTTACATTATTAAGGTATAATCTCTTACTAAATTTCCTCTCTGAATATTGTTCTAAAATTATAGGAATAAAATGTGCTTTCTATGGAAAATAATAAGTAGGTATAATTTGAGAAATACTATAGCTGCATTTTAAAAGAGAAATTGTAAATAAAATTATAAAGAGATAGTTAACAGTAAAAATCTTAATAAAATGAAACAAAAAACTCCTCAAACATCTATTCAATAATTGGTCAATCTCAGAGTTATATAACACTGATAATATGACAGTCAATTTTGATATAGAATATATCTTACTCCTACCTGAAATTTATTATCATGGAGTTATAATACATTTTGTTCTGTGCCATCAGGTAGTTCTAATAAATATTTGGAAAAAAGTTCCCTCTAGGAGTAAATAGATATCACATTCTAGGTATGCAAATTAATCTGTATTGGCAGTGGGTCTATAATTAGCCAGATGAACTATGATAACAGGTAATTTAAAAATATTTAAATAAAATATAATTATCCTTTACAGTAATTTTTATGGCTTAAAGAGTTATTTTATTTCATTAACTGCTACTACAAACTTCTTTGGTAAAGCAAAGTATATTTCCCTTACTCCATTCTTTGTCACTATATCCTCTGTAATAATTACATTTAAATATTCCAGCAATAATATCATTCTTTTAAAATGATAAAATAATGTATTTAAAATTCAGATGTATTCTTTCTAATTCTCCTTCATTTACTCTACAGTGGGAATGCTTCTACAACTAATGTGTTTAAGACTTGGTATAATGTGGACTCTCCAACCAAATTTTGCAGAATAACACAATTCAGCAACAATACACGAGGTCACAATACAAAACTCAAGTTTTTCTATGCAGTTGTAAGGATAATTCCCCCCTCTATCTCCTTCTAATACAGTACTCATAAAAAGACCTTTAACTTTCAGAAGCTCTTTATAAGAGGCAAGTATACTAACTAATAAAATGGAATTAACTGCAAAAAAAAAAGTTCTAAGATACTTAGCTTCTCATAGTTAATACATTATCAGCACACACCAAGAGAGAATCAGTATATTTTTTAAAATTATATTGCTAAATATTTCCCAATTACATGTAAACATTTTAACAATTATTAAAAAAAAATTTTAGTCCCAAATTCTCTCTTTGCTGCCACACCCTCTTGAGAAGGCAAACAATTTTATATTGATTATACATATGAAGTCATACAGAACATATTTCCATATTAGCCATATTGTAAAAGAAAAGACAAATTGAAATAATAAAAATAAAGAAAAATTTTAAAGTATGCTTCAATCTGCATTTAGAATTTATCACTTCTCCCTCTGAAAGTGGATATCATTTTTCATCACAGGTCTAGGATTACTGTCTTAATCAGAGCAGCTAAGTCTTTCACAGCTGATCATCCTTACAATATTGCTATTACTTCATACAATGTTCTCCTGGTTCTGCTCATTTCACTTTACATTAGTCTTCCCAAGTTTTCTGAAAGCATCCTCCTTGTCATTTCTTATAGAACAACAGTATATTCCATCACCTATTTCTCAAATGATGGGCATCCCCTTGATTTCTAATAATTGCCACCACAAAAACCTGTTATAAATATTTTTGTACAAATAGGTTCTTTTCCCTTTTCTTTGATCTTTTTGGGATACAGACATAGTGATTTATATAGTGATATTTCTGGATCAAAGTGTATGCAGTTTTATTGTCCTGTGGGCATAGATCCAAAACTGCTCTCCAGAATGGCTAGACTAGTTCACAACTCTACCAACAATGCAGTAATGTCCCAAATTTTCTTCATCTCCTCCAGCATTGAATCAGAGTATTGTTAAAGAAATGGCTTCATACTTGGAGACCAAGGTTCTATTTCTAGCTTTGCCACAACCACTGTGAACAGGGATAAATCATTAACTTCTCTGAACCTCTGTCAGTACATAAGCATTTATTAAGTGCATACTATGTGTTAGGCACTGTGCTAAGCACAGAGATACAAAGAAAGATATCCCTGCTCTCAAAGAGTTCACAGTCTAAAGTTTCCTTATCTGTAAAATGGGGGTGTTGGGTTAAATGTCAAATTCTGGAGCCAAGGGATAAAGTGTAATGAGGTCAAATAATACTTTTAGGAAATGAGGATGAATTTTAAGGCCTGTAGCTTGGAATGTTGTTTCTTTTTTAATTTTATGCCATTCCATATCACAAGAGAGTGATAAAATTGTAATATAGAAAACAACTACTATAATGGGAAATTTTGGGAAGGTAGAACCCTGACTGGCCAATTTGACTGAGTCATTCAATTAGCTGTTTATGTTGTAAAAAGGATACATTTTAATGACTCCCCAATACAAAAACTTTAAGTTTTTGACATGAGCAAAAAAAAAAGTCTAGTTCTGTAGTTCTCAAAGTGAGGTCTTTGAGGTCAAAACTATTTTCACAATAATACTAATACATTATTTGAATATTAAAATACTCCTCTTTTATCCACCTACTTATTTGTGTGAGGCTGGATTTCTTTACTTATTTCAACTAAAATAACAATGCACTGGATTCAGAAGCTGATAAGAATCTAGTCTTCTATTAAGGCACACATTTAAAGTGATTTGCAAAAACATGTAAAACAAACCAATCTCGCTAAATTTGTTTTGTTTTGGAAAATAGTTATTTTTCATAAAAATGTTAACGTGATGGGTTTACGATTTTAAATGAATGAATAATTTTAAAGTCTATCACTTTGAATTTCTAATATACTGAATATCAAAAGATATAAGAGGTCTTTGGGGTCCTCAATACTTTTTTAAAAGTGTCAAGAGATCCTGAGACCAAAAAGGTTGAAAATAGCTGGTCTAATTGAAATATGTACCTGCCATGTGGTCAACCACATTCAGGGACTTAGATAATAAACATACCCTGATAATCACCAACAAACTAATTAAGAGTAACTAGCTAAGTTTTAGAGTATCGAGATATCTGCAACACATTATAGGATGTGAGTCTTGAAGGCTGTAACTCAAACTGATGCTAGTTTCTTCTTAAGTATAGTAACTAGTACCCTCTTACCTAAATGGAACCTGACAACCTAAAGTATGCTAACGCTGACATAATCTGTAAGTAAAAGGAAAGTAACAAGCACAATGACTTTGAGCTCACATGTACCACACAGTACATGTGTCTTATTCATAGAATATTTAGACATCAGCAAGTATTTTACTCATACTTTATGTATAATTCTAATAAACTTGGAGTCCGGCTTCTAAATGTACAAGAGATTAAGAAAAAAAAATTATAAGTGGGAAATGAGGCTGACATAGGCAGGTATGATAACAGAAGAAAACTGATAGCAGCTGAGACCATGGAAGACAAATGAAAAACTCTAAAGCAGACAAAAATAAAAATAAAACAGTGCAACAGTGCAAGAATGATGAGTAAGGACAGTCAATAAGTGAAATCATTAAACATTTATTAAGCATCTACTATGTGCAAGGCTCTATGTTAAGGGGATATAAAAAAAGCAAGATAGTCCCTGCCCTCAAGGAGCTTACATTCCACTGAGGTAAACAAACACACAAAGAAATATGTAGAAGTAAACTATATACAGGATAAATAGGAAATAATGAAAAGAAACAAGGAACTAGAATTGAGAGACTGGGAAAAGCTCTCTATAGAAGATGGGATTTTATTTGGGACTTAAAGGAAGCCAGGAGGCAGAGATGAAGAGAGAGAGCATTGCAGGCTTATAGGGAAAGGCCAGAGAAAATGCCCAGAGCTGAGAGCTGAGAACATCTTGTTTGTACAACAGCCAAGGGGACAGTGTCACTGGAATGAACATGTGCACAGAGTAAGATATAAGAAGGCTGGAAATGGAGACAGGGGAGGGAATGGAACATGATTAGGCTATGAAAGGCTCTGAACACCCAAAAGAGGATTTTGGATTCGATGCTGGAGGCAACAGGTAGTCACTAGAGTTTACTGAGTAAGGGACTGAGTACTTTAGGAACATCACTTTGGTGGCTGAATAAAGGATGAATAAAATAGTTCTACCTAAATAGGCTACAAAGGTATCTGAGTACTATAACACAGTCAGTCAATCAATAAACAATGTTAGTCAGTCAATAAACATTTACTAAGTGCCTACTATGTCCCAGCCACTGTACTAATTGTTGGGAATACAGAAAGAGGCAAAAGACAGTCCCTGCTCTCAAGGAGCTGATAATCTAATATAATAACGTAAAACATTCATAACGATTGTTTATGAAAATATTCAGTTATGTTTTGTATATTCTATTTTTTTTTTTTAGTGAGGCAATTGGGGTTAAGTGACTTGCCCAGAGTCACACAGCTAGGAAGTATTATGTGGCTGAGGTCAAATTTGAACTCAGGTCCTCCTGACTCCAGGGCCGGTACTCTATCCACTGCGCCACCTAGCTGCCCCACATATATTCTATTTTAAAAGGCAGATAGATGTATGATTTTTAATAAAGGTTTTTATCCCAAATAATAAAAACACAAGATCTAATGCTTAAAGGAATACCATCAGTTATCTGGGAAATTGGGCTACATGGAACAACACTCCTTAAAGGTTCCAAATAACTGAGATTTTATTGTACTTGTATATAATTATGCCAATAAGTGAACATCATGGTTGTAGCCTGGTAATACATGTAGCTGAGGTTCTCACAGGCATAGTTAACTAACAGAGTTTAGCATTATTTTTCATACAATTTTAACAAGGAAAAGCAGGGAACAGAT